GCCACTGGGTCCCCTGGCTCCCAGCCCCCTCTCACCTTGCCCATGTCCAAGGCAGTGGCCTCCAGGATGTCCTGCTTCTTCTCATCCAGGAATCGCCCCAGGGCCTCCAGTTGGCCCACACGATACTTCACGGGCCGCGTCTTCCCCGAGAGCCAGGCTGCCCGCAGGCGGCTCACCAGCCCCGCATAGGGGTTCCCACTGTGGGGACGGGGTTGTCAGAGGGATCCCATCCCCGTCCCAGCCCCTTGTGCTCACAATGACAAGGAGAGGAGCCCCGCATCACTCCAGCCCAGTCTCAAACCCTGGCACAGCAAGCATCCGGACCCCTCCTGCGCTCCCCTCCACATGCTCTCACCTTGTGGCATCGCTGTCCACGTTCCCCTTCCCACCACCACCATCATCCTTAGGGGCTTTGCCCGCCAGCTGCTGCCCGGGGGGCTCGAAGGGCTTCTCCATGCCGGGCTGCGGGAGGACGCTGCCGGTCTCCGTGGTCCCAAGGGAGCGGCACTGGGGCTGTCAGCAGCCTCACACTGGTTGGGCTGCAAACCGCAGGTTCCCCACCCCAGTTAAGTGAGTGGCTTATCCAGTGGAGGTGGTTTTGGGGAGCCCAGCCAGCACCCCGGCACAGCAGCCAGGACCCTGCTGAGCTGTGTGGCTGGCAGAGCGCAGGCAGGGTGCAGGCAGGCAGCCACTCGTCCCTGCTACAGCCTGCTCCCTCGGAGGAGGGAGGCTGCCGGCTTCCTGCTCTGCCCCCTTGGCTCCCTGCCGTGCCGCACGTCACCGCTGGCTGCGCTCCAGCACGAACCACCAAAACACACCCCAAACCCAGCCCCAGAGCATCGCGCTGCCCTACCGCACCATGCGGCCACCGGGCACGGGGTGACGGAGGTGGACACGATCCCAACGGGATGCAGTGCAGCGGCTGAGGGTGTCACTATGAGGGATGGGGACGTTGGGGGTCTGGGCATCCACCTCCCCAGGGGTCGGCTGCCAGATTCCTGCCCGGCACCCCCCCAAGCCAGGTGACAGAGGTATGAGGCGAGGCCAGGCAGGAGAGCTCGATGCAAAGTCTTTACTACAGGCAGGGTTAACACGGAGGAAAGAGAGACAGCCATCACTGAGAGGGAGAGCAAGGTTCATTCGGAAGGAAAGGTCCATCTAACAGGAGATGGGGCTTACTGCTGGTCCTCAGCCTCACGGGGACCATTTCTCCACGGAGAAAAGTAGTACAGGATAAGAAAATAAATAATGTTTTGCCATTTCATATGTGTCCTGGCAAATGGTCCAGAGCAGAGGCAGCTGACAAGGAGGAAACGTCTGTCTTCACTGTCTGATGGGCAAAGGACGTGGCAAGAGAACAGGGGACCGGACTGGTGCTGAGGAGACAGGATACCCGCCTCCTGCAGGGGGTGGTTTTGCTCCCCGGAGGGAGCCAGCCAGAAGTCATCCCTCCGCCAGGCTGCGAGTGGTGCAGGGCAGCCCTCAGAGCAGGGTGCACATGCCCCTGCGCTTGATCTCAAAGGTGGTCGTCAGCAGCCCCAGCTTCTGCTGTGTGTAGGGTGGGTAGCGCACGGTGTTGAGGGCCTCCAGGCCCATGTTGCGGTGCAGGCAGCTGCGGTGGTGGGTGAAGGTGTCGAAGGTGAACTTGCCGTGGTATTTCCCAAGGCCGCTGTTTCCTGCAACACACAGCACAGGTCCAAACTTGCTACAGGACTCTGCTCTTGCCTACAGCAAAGACTTCACAAGCTTTTCTCATGCAAATACTTCAGCTGCTGGGCAACGAAGACACAGTGGAGGAGCTCTCATTCCCTACAGCTACTCAGCCCAGCAAATCCTTCTGCAGTTCACTGCTGTTTGGATGTCCAAGTGCACCATTTTTACTGACCTGCTTTTACCTACATAAGCTTTGCTGGGTCTACGAGGCTTGTTTTCCCTCTACAACCTCTACCGTGCTCTACCCATGGTTAGGGTCTACCAGCATGGCCCCTACAAAGGTCAGCTTCTTCCTGAAGCTCTATAAAAATTGGAGCCATGTGGGCAACACCAGTTCTCCTGATTCCTGCAGCTGGTTTAAGTTTCATATCATGGTTAACAGCCCAACGACTTCACACCCAAGCTACTGTGGAAGCTTTGGTGAATGCCATCTCACCCGAATGACTTCAGACCCTTCACCTGACCAGGCTGCTATAAAACAGCTTCACCTGATAATTTGAGGTAGTTTGTCTGAATCATTTCCATAAAGATAAATTATGGTATAGGAACTACCACGAATTATTCCCTGAGCCACAGTCAGGCGAGGAATTAATTGTGCTTTGCTGTTGTGGTGTCCCATTATGTCTGAATCAGCCATCAGCCCCGACAGAGATGCTGGGTTCGGGCAGCATAAAACAGATATTTTACCCAGAGAATATTCTGGGGAAGAGACCAGAAGATTGGGAAAGTATTCTGGGGAAAGATCATCAGAGGCTTCCTGTGTTTCTGTGCTCTTCCTTGGACAATGCTACAACCAGTGCCCAGGGCTGGGCAGACCTCACTTTTTCACCTGAGAACAATTGCTGTTGCTCCTGGAGAGCAAAAACTCTTCCTCTTTGCCCAGGAGGATCTCAAAGTTACCAGAGCAGATTTCTCAGACATTTATAAGTGTTTTCCTCCTACAACTTAGTCCTAAAAGGCAGTATGAATGTACAAGCCTGCCCCTGAGTGACATTAAGGGCTCCTCTCCAGCACCACGCTGTCTGCAGGAGGAACTCACCTTCCCAAGCAGTACAGCAAGTTGGATCTGTTCCCAGACAAGGAGCAGAGTGACAGATTGACCAAAGGGAGCAGCACTGGAGGAGATTCCAGGTAAGCCTGAACAGGGCAGGAACCCAACCCTGGCACAGAATTCAGGCACAGTGCCCATGCTGCTCAGAAATACCAACGTGGTACATATTTCTCTACCTCATATATGAAGCATTTGCACTCAAGGAACACTGTGCTTGGGACAGCAAACACAGACAGAAGAAACCTGACAGTGCTTCATGTGAGTTCAGGTTGCAAAGCCCAGGAACTCAGCCCTGGGGCAGTGAAGCAAAGGGCTTCTGGTGGGGTCCTATCTGGTGCAGAAGGATTTCCCTACACACCACTGAGCCCTCCGCTCCTGGGGCCCAGGCCTGGGTGTCCCCTCTCCCCTGAGACCCTTCCTCACCATGGCCAGCACGGCTCAGGCACCATGGGTAGGATCACGCCTGGCTCACGTTGGCCAGGGGCAGGCAGGTTGGGGAATTTGGACCTACCAATCCCACCGAAGGGCAGCGAGGTCAATGACACATGCATCAGGGTGTCGTTGCCACAGAAACCTCCACTGCTTGTCCGCTCCAGCACCTGGTTCACCACCTGGGAAGGAAGCAAAGAAGGTGGACGTGGGTCTTGCACCCTGGTGCCACAAGTAGAGTTTGTCAAATATCACTCAACTCATCCATTGGCTTGGGGTGCCCAGAGCAGCCGGACTCAAAAGACCCTTCCACATCATGCCATGGGGTGTCGGTGAGGTAGGCACAGCTCCTACTGCCCCATTTCCCTCACCCCCCTTTCTGGTCCATGGCCCACACACACCTTGCTGTCACAGGAGAAGGCGTAGACGGCCAACGGCCGTGGCCGTGCATTGATAAAGTCAATGGCTTCGTCCATGTTGGCCACAACAACGATGGGTAAGATGGGCCCAAAGATCTCCTCCTGCATGGCAGGATCAGAGGGCTGCACGTCCGCCAGCACAGTGGGAGCTGTGGAGAAGGGTTATGGCAACACATCACCCAATGCACAGGAATGGGTGGTCCCACAAGCCCCAGGCCCCGTGCCCTCACCGATATAGCGCTCCTTCTCATCCGTCTGTCCTCCGATGGCCACACGCCCGCTGCGCAGCAGCGCCTGGATGCGGCGAAATTGCTTGTCCCCCACGATGCGGCCAAAGTCGGGGGACTCCCGAGGGTTGGAGCCATAAAACTCAGTGATGGCCTCACGCAAGGCAGGCATCAGCTTGTCCTGCATCTCCACGCTGCACAGGATGTAGTCAGGTGCGATGCAGGTCTGCCCCGCGTTGTAGAAGCGGCCCCAGACCACCCGTCGGGCCACGTTGTGCACGTCGCAGGTGTCGGACACGTAGCAGGGGTTCTTGCCTCCCAGCTCCAGGGTCACCGGCGTCAGGTGCTTGGCAGCAGCTGTCATTATGATCCTCCCCACAGAGGGGCTGCCTGAAGACCAGGAAAAGATGCATCATGGTGAGGATCCCACCAGCTACAGCACAGTTCTGGGATGTGACAATTTGGGGAGCCAGGTACAGGAGAAATGCCCCAACTCCCACCAGACACCCACATTTCAGATCCTCCACCAGATCCCAAATACAAACCCTGCCTTCTTAGAGGGCAGGGAAGGGGGCCTGTTTGCAGGGAGGGTGCCCACCCTCTCACGTTGATGGGCAGGGTAAGCCACAGCAGGGTGTCCACAGGGAATCCCTCATTGCACAAAACCAGGCAGGTCTCTCCTCTGGCTCACGGGACATACCGGTGAAGAAGATGTAGTCAAACTTGTTCTCCAGCAGTGCAGTGGT